ACCTGAACTGCAGGTACTAGTATTTGTCAAATTTTGCCGACAGAAGAAGGCTCGAAGTTGGTGAGACCAAGGTTGTATGATCTATCCGACTTTGTGACACGTTCCGCTCCGTGTCATGTAACATCTGTGTCCATAATATCACCAGGGTCCATAATATCACCATCTTGAGAAATAGTGTGCTTAAAGATATTTTTACTGCAACATACCCTAGGTATGTACATTTGATGTGTGAAGGAGTGCATACCAAATGTATGTTGCAGTAAAAAATATCTTTAAGCACACTGTTTCTGAAGGTGGCGATATTATGGACCCTGGTGATATTATGGACACGGATGTTAACGTTAATCCCGCCCCCTAACAGTGTAAGATGGAACTGCATGGTCCCAATGTAGGTACGTAAATACTTCTCCGGTCGAACTCGACGCATAAATTAATGCTTGAGATGAAGCCATCATTCTAAAGTAAACGCAAAACTTTACACTTCTCCCACGACGTTGACGTTCTTACCAACAGAGAACAGAAGAAGTGAAGTTTTGCGTTTATTTCATGATTCAGAATGATGCCAAAATTCGTTTTGTCGCGGCAAGGAGGTTAATACTAGTAATACTAGAAAGGCCGACATTTGCTTTGGAGCAAATTCAGCATGACTTCACCACATTTCACGACATGGCAGGGAAATAAGGAGAAATACAAGGGAAATTCTTTACATTGATATAACTATAGTATGAAGTGACAACAGTTGGATAGCTATCCCTTACATTGTTGCTTGGGATTTTTAACTTCATAATGCAATAATGCAAACTGTTGATTTTCAAGATAAAAAGAAGCGTTTATGCCCCGCATTCCAATGCTGGAGCAGGAAAGCTTGACATACCTACCAAAACACTTAAATAAAGTTCATACTGTCAATATGGCATGGCTTTGTACAGGTGTTAATTGAGTTAACCCAATCTGATCCGAACAGCCAATCAGCAAGGAGAATAGAGGAAAGCTGCATGCCTATTGGTTGCCTGCTCTACATGTCATTCTGATGACTCATGCCCAAATGTGGTAACACACTGATATAGTACATTTTCTATAACACAGCCAAAAAGCTCAAATAAAACCATTCTAAAAGCCTGTATCACAAAACTGAAAAAAAACGCCTGGGGGTATTTGCCCACTCTACCTTCATGCCAAATTTAATAATATTTGGCCAAAAAAAATGAACGTATGTGTTACGTTGGTATATAACGTCGTGTGTGGGTAAGGATTCATTATTGAACAGCGTCAGCGTCTAATATCTGTATAACGTAAGGCAGTGCTGAGTGGGTATTGTGGGGTTTAGGACGTCCGCATGGCCATGACACCCTTACAAAAAGTTACTTATGAGGTTTTTTTTTCAGGACCTCTGACCTCCAAATACGTTATTTTTATTATGTATATAT